TTTAGTATGAAATAACATATTTAAATAATATGGAGCCTGACTTACCTAAGGGCTTTATATGATTGATCTATTACCGAGAATACAACTAACAATTAGATAATTCTCCTGCTGGTAAATGAGCAAACATGTCTTGTTATTTTAGACATTTGCCTTGAGGATCCTTCTTACTTGTTATTTGCATTAATTCTCGAGTTTATTCCGCACCATGCTGACTACAAACTAGTTCTTGTAAGCTATTTTAACAAAAATTTTCGCACAAACCATTAGAAAGAAATCATTTTAGAGATTTTTTAACAATGAGTAAAATTAATTTCCATTTATATGGTTTTCCGATTAGTGTTAATAAGTGTTAAGATTGCTTCTATTAGTACACTGGAGCGCTTATCTGATAAGAGGTTGAAACTGAGCTCAGACGAAGTTATTTGTCCACAAAATTAAAATAAGGAAGCACTATAATGTAAAAAGAGCATAAACGAGATTCGTGTTAATCTTACTTGCATGAGAAGAACCTTGTCGGGTAAATTATTGTACTCTCAATAACGATAAGACTTGAATGCATAACTCGGATTCACCTGTTGGATTTACTGAACATTATTTCGCATTAAGTATCTGGCTCGAGTGGTTCGCTATTAAAGACGACCATGTACTGTATTTTATGATCAGTATAAACTCCTATCCAACCTGTTAGAAAATCATTTATTTTTATCCATTGATTTATAATTGATAAATGTTTATTTATCTTTTCGAATTCGGTGTATATATACATATATATTTTTTAATGATGCAACGGTCGCTTCTGTCGTTACCAGAGATAGTATCGGTTATTTTAGTGGCTGCATCCAATCGTCCATGCAAATCGTCTTGTTTTTACGCCGCTGATAATTGAATGTACGTGACGTTAATGCACTAGCAGGTGTATCCACAATTAGGATATTTGCTCTATTTTATATGCTAATTACCGATTTATTTAATCGATAATGTATAATTTATAATGGTGAAATTTTTTTTTGTCAGACAAAATATTAAAATTTTTCGTGGTTATTTTTTTAAATAATGTCACCAATAAATAAAATTAATTAAAACAATAATTTATTGCAAATTTTTCCACACAAAACTAGATTTGATTTATTGAAGGTTGCAGAGTAATTTAATGGGGTATTAAATAATTCATTATTGAGAAACTGTCAGCGAACAGAATGCGACACCTGGTGGAAAAAAAGCCAAGCGCTAGAAAGTCGTAAATCAAACAGTAAAAAATAATTTATCTATTAATTAATTGAAATTACTGTAAAATTGACGACATGTTTACGATAAAATTGGCAACAGTAATAACGTGTAAAATTAATAAACGACCGGGGTAAAAATTTTAAGTAATACACTATACATTAAAGCTGGCGATTATACGCGCGAATAGTTGAGGTTATTGATTATTTTGAGCAGTAAATCGGTAATGAATGGTTAGATGGATCCGCCGTCGATGCACGGGGACAGTGAACTGGCGCCAAAATGATGTCTTTACTGCTTGGTTATGAACGTAGGGTGTATTTATGCATCAAGATGAGAAGAGTATGTATAGAGAGAGAGAGAAAAAGGAGAATGATAAATATATGAGTGTATGATAGCCGTTACCGATGAAAAATTAATACCCGTCCAGCTTATCCGGATAAATGAGTACGCCGACGCGGCCGCCCAGTTGCGTTCGGTTATATTGCGTTGTGTTCGCTTTAAGCATTTATTTGCCGGTGTAGGTACATAACAGGTATAGCACTATTACCTGGAAATAATATGAGAAGAGTTTATATGGGATGTTTATGTTGTGATGGAAAAAATAGAGAAAAAAAGAAACAGATTATTCGTGCGTTGCCGAAGGGACGATAGCTAACGAGCGTCCTTCACCGCTAATCTCACTTCAGAGCGTCCTTTTAATCACCCCCATTGATAACTCCAAGTCGGACCAGTCACTAGTTGTCACGTTTTTAATAATCACTGTTCATATTTTTATTATATTTTCAATTAAGAGATATTGTCCTCTTTAAGGGGAATCGAATGGCTAGCCTCTAATCGGTATTATCTTATTGATTTTCAATTTAATTCCAGCTTTTGTGTATACGTATTTGAGATCAAATGGTTTTTTAATTTGGTTTTGGATACTTTATAATTGTACTCGGTGAATTTTTTATTTCTCGCTAAGAAAATCGAAGATTTTAAAAAATCGGGAAGTTATTGTTTTCACCCCGTGTTTTGAAATTACGTGCTTTCTTCAAAAATAAAATTGAAAAAAAATTTTTAAATGTTAAATTTTCAATAAAATAAAAATTAAAAAATAAATGACTATTTTTAATTTTTTTTTATTTTAAATTGTTTATTTTTAATAAAAAAAAAAAATTAGCTGATTGTAAAACTCAAAATTCTTTCAAAAAAATTCATTTGTAGTAACCTTTATTTTTTTTAAGTATTAAAAAAAATTTTTTTCTTAGGATTCATTGAGAATTTGGTATTTCGATACAAAAGTTAATTTTTTGAATTTTTTTTTCTGGTCAAAAATAAAATTTTTGAATAATTAAAACAAGTTACTTAAATACTAATTTCTATTATAAATTAAAACTTTCTTTGAATATCACGAATTTGAAATGAATAATTTGGAAGACGAAAAAAAAAAGTAACTAATTGTTACAATTGTTAATGCCAAAGTAAATATTTTTCTTACAATTTTAAACGCGAAGAGAATAATTAACTAGATAAAAATTTATTCATAAACTGAAGTAACGAAAGCAGAAATCAAGTAATTCAGACACGAACAATAATAATGAAGGTTTTGTTATACCAATTAAACAAACTTCAACATTAAACGGGAAATTGAAACTAAGAGAAATTAAGATTACAATTATATCACAGGAGGTCGATTATATGCATAAGAAAATAAAAGGTACAGTTGAGTACTATTCTCATGAATACATAACGGTGAATTAATAATTCTCAAGGAATAATATCGAGTGGATAATATTAAAAGTTAAATCATAAGAGTGTTATAAAATCATTAAAGGCTACTGTTGTAAATTAATTACAACCTAGATAATAAATAAATATAAATGCGCTATTAAATGAATTGAGAGCTCTGGATCGCGTGTCTATAATTCAATTGTGGGCTGTGGGTGCAAAAATTTATTTATATAGACTGAACTTATAATTTTTTTAGGCATGTTATAAAATTATTATTTATTTTTACCACAACATATTACGCCATTATTTATTTTTTGAGCAGTAAAATGCATGCAAATTCAACAAATTGCGAAACCGAACACTCAAATTACATAAGCAGTAGCTTTTTAAAATCAGGTTTGTTGTTTTTACTCGGCAAGATCGAAGTAAAAAAAAAGTTAATATATTTTATTTATTTAAAATATTTTTTTTTTCTGGTAGCTGTAACTTCCGCGTATGTTTAAGTAAAAAATTTTAAATTATAATTATCACTGACAAGTTACTTTCTCCGTTTTGTATAAACACGCATCGAACTTTCCCTTGTTTTTCGTTTTAACGTTGATGTTAATATTATGTTATCTCTTTCATTAATTACTGATATTATATGTATTTTACTTAACATATGTGTACGACAGTTTTAATGAAATCGCGTTGCTAATCTTTCACCAATCATTTTTCTCATTTTTATTATTATACATCAACATTAATATTAATTTAATTAATTGTTGATAATTATTTACGCCCGCGTCACGCATGTCAATTCAGAATTTCTGTTTTTATTATTTATATTTATGAATGCTTGTTGAAACAATCTTTTATACGGGTGTTATTCATCTCAGCCTCCAGATTTTCTCAATTTAAAAAAATATCAGATTATCTTTTTCTGCACGCGAACTCTTGGGTGTGCTCTGTTTTAGAAGGTGTTAAATTTAATATAATCGTTTTTAAATTGTTAACAATAATTTATAGTTTTCTCCTTTGAAAAAAAATTACTCAATTTGAGGAAAGTCACAAAGACTTATTTATAAAATTTCACTCTTGTTTTAAATTTTTTTTTTTTTAAATACGGTAAAAGCTCCAATAGATGATCAAATTGGTCAATTAAAAAACTTTTTGTTACTTTAAAATTATTTAAAAGCCAATAAATTTAGAATTTTAAATAACTTTACTGGATAAATTTCCACAAGTAGACACTAATAAAAATAAATAAAAATAATCCAAAGAAACATCTCTTGATTCTTTATATAGAAAAATGGTCCAAAGACATAACTATAAAATGCATTTTAAATCAATTTCTTAAAAATGTAATAAAGTTTATAAATAAATTTTTAAGGGAATATATTTTTGATCCTCAGATTTCAAAGTTATCTTCACTAAAAAACGAGTTTTAAAAAAATCAAATTTTTTCATAATAATTTATTAAAATTTTCGGACTAGATAAAATCTGTTTTTATATATTTATATATTTTTTTATACATAAAATTAGTGTTAAAAAATATAATGACAACAAATCTTTTATTTTATTACACAGAAAACCAAAATGACTGATTTAAAGTCCGAATAATTGTTTTAATTTACGACATTTTGTTTTACAAAAAAGCTCCCCCTGCGGTGGCGAATAATTCCGTCCACATTGGCAAATAAAATATATCTTTAATTACAAAATAATAAATGCAATCGATAAATAACCGGGATAGAGTTAATAAATAAAGAAACAAGTCTTAGGTCTTAGGCGCCTGAAAGTGACGCCCTGGAGTAAAATCTTTAAGAATTAATTGTCGTTAGATTTATTGATGGCAACTCCGCCCCGACTTTCGGAGTGAATTCCGGATTCGAATTAATAAAAGACAGTCTACAAATATGTAATCTAACCACCAGTGAAATATTGTAATTTAATTCAGTGTCATAACAAATGCTTGTAGACATGTGTATGTTGAAGTTTTTAAAAAATTCCTAACTTCCATTCCGCGCAATTAATTTAAAAATTAAATTCCGTAATTTAAAAGTGATAGATTCCAGGCTCAGTATCTTGATCCCTTGTCTTCGGGGAGTAAAAAGTATATAACGACTTGACCTCGCGAAGTCTTGACAGGCTCTTGATGCCGTATTAAGTAGATAGCTGCGAGTCCATAAACCAGAGTAGGAATTCCTGTAATAAAAGATTGAGAAAAAAAATTAAATTTTTTATCAATCCATAAGGGATTGGTATTAGCATCGGTATTGACAATACCAAGGTTAATTATCTTGATAGCCTTGTAGAATCTGTCATCGAGCGTGAGGTCTTCTACAGGGCGTTTCGTGCAGTGGTACTTTATGTAAGGGAAGCACCCGGTACGCAGAACATGGTAGTTTGAATTACCGACAGGCCAATTGAAATGAGACAAGCCTCGTTGGTCATTTTTAATGTCCCGGTACTTCACGAAGTACGATGTCCACGGTGGCTCCTTCGTTTGCAGCAGGTACCTCGTTAAAACCTATTAACCGTGAAACAGAGTCACTTGCTATTTATTATTACTTTTTTTTTTATTTTTTATTCATGTAATTTAACAGCCTATCGCTTCATCTTTGGAAGCACATATGCTTAAATAATTTAATATCTACTTCACTTGTCTAATGAATATTAAAATTACGCGCTGTCAAGATTTACTACGGATAACTTTTATTATAATTAATTCGGGCTTTGATCCACTAAAGGATCATGAATTTTAAATGAATATTATTCTATTTTTAATTTAAATTTTTTAAATAAAATTTTTCTTTCCTTAATCAAACTCGGATTTTTAAAAAATTTTTAAGTTTGATTCATCATTTTAAAAAAAGTTAAATATTTTTTTTTTTTCCTTAAATATGTCAAAAATATTATTAGAGGTGGAAAAATTTTTGAAAGTTAGAGCTCTCGATATTAAATTTTAGTGAACGGAATATTTTTTAATTAATTAACGGGCCCCGATATAGATGAGAAATTATAGCATATTCTTGCAGGAAATTAAATGGTTTATAAAAACTCTCTGGTAATTTTTTGATAAATTTATTTATTTAAAAGTTACTCGAGGTTAAAGTTGAACTTGGAAAAAATTTTCACTGGGAAAAAAAAATTTTTTTCGAATTTTTTTAAAATTTTTAAAAAGATAACTTTTTTGAAAAATATTAAAAAAAAATAGTTAATGCGATCTAAAATTCTAATAATTAGATAGAGAATTATTAAATTAATTACTCAACTAAAATAAAAAAATTTACAATTTTTATTTAAAAATAATATCTTTAAAGCAAAAGTAATTTCGAATAAAAAATCTATCAATTTATGACTAAGAAAAATGATGTAAATAAATACTTTACCTCGGAAGCGAGAGGTTTGTTATTACGACTCCACAAATCATTAGATAATAGTTTACATATTCCTAATTTATTCATTACTCAACTGGGATGAATAAACAATACGGAAACTTTAAGAATAGGTTGTAAAGGAGCGTGTATAAACATATAAACCACCTCGAAGGCGAATTGATATAAACATAAGTACCAAAAGGATCGAAATCAATAATTTCCCTGTTAAGGTTTAAAGTTCAAAAGGGCGTGCAGATCTAAGTTACCGATCTCAATCGTTTAGTAATCGAGCAAGTACCGTTGTTAAACTTCTTTCTTCATACAGTGAGCGAGAGTATGGAGCATAGCACCTTTTTAAAATAAACGTGAGCACGCGTCGCACGAAATGTCAAGGTTAGCAGCTCATGTAATTGTAAAAGTTGTCGGTGATCTATTACCAATAATTTATACAAATAATTATATTTAAAAACAATTATTTAAATCAATGGATCGGTTGTCGCAATGTTAATCATAAATAAATTCCGGCTATTTTTATTTTTATTTTTATTTTATTCAGCAATCCAACAAGTTGCAATCAGCACTTTTTATAATTTGAGTAATTTTCTCGAAATGATTACACGGTTAAATTATTTAAATATGCAATGTTTGCTGACACCTAATATAATGCAATTCGATAATAAAACGAAAAAGGAAAAGTCATACAAACGTGTGATTCCCGCGATCAGTTCAAGTTGCGCATGTGCTAAAAATTTTACACGGGCTTCTGTGGTGGCGCTACGGGTATCGAAGTCGAAGTAAAAATAAATTTGCTAATCGTAATGGTAATGGTAATGATAAACAAATGGAATATAAATATGTAATGCAGGTTTATGGAGACATTTGTTATCAATTTGTAAAATCGTACGCATAAACAGACAAACAAATAGCCTGTTGGTAGCACACGTGCACTTTCCGCGTTTGTACTGTCACACAAACATGTATTAGTAAAAGGTAAAAGAGTTGTATGCTGACGCAGACGACACTGGGTTGTGAATTTACCGACAGATAACACTACTGTCCTATTCAATCGGCTATTAATTCTTTATACCATTTTTATCCCGACTTGAATTCCTTTTACAGTTGAGTTTAGCTTTCTTTAGGGCTTGGAAATTCCGACATTGTTTCGATCCTTTCAGTCAATAAGATCTTTCAATTTCTTGCCATTTATTATCTTATTAATATAAATATAACTTTAGTGTGACATTTGATAAATAGATAAAAATTTATTGGATTTCATGCGTTATTGAAACTTTTGATGGATTACTTCATAGTTTGGTCACAAACTTTTCTACTTTTAATTACATTTCTTCCATCTTTCCAATTTATTTTCTTAATAAAATATTTAAAAATTGCAATTATAAACTGAAACTATCCTATAAAAAAAATATTTTTCAAACTATATAAAAAATAAAAGTATAAACATATCTTAACAATATTCTATAGAATAAAATAAATTTTTATTTATGCTTTTTATACTTTCATGCATTTTTCATATATTTTTAATGCATTTCCATTATAGCTCAAATTATCTACGTGCAAAAAATATGTATTGAAATTATATTTTCTTTTACCGACTTTTATAGTCCAGCATATACTTTTGATATGCATTTTTTATGGGGTCAATTAAAATTTGATAATTTTTTATTTTTTTAAGCTACTAGAATCCAAAAAAACTTGTCAAATTTCTACGAACTTTACATTAAATATTATAAATAAATTACCTTTCATCAGGACAAACAATATTGATCGATCCTTAAACTTAAGGGTTTATCGGCTTAAATACATCCCAGCTTTAACTTTTATTATTAATTACCCGAGTTATAAAATCAAGGCACATGTAGAGCAATATAACGATACTTAATAATTTTTTAAGATAGAAAATAAAAAGCAACTATCCATTAAAATAATAAATTAATTTTACTTTCATTTTTTGAATTTTCCATTTTAAAAAACGTGATACCATGTAAGCTCAAGTAGATTTATGAAACTAAAGTATTATAAATAGTAATTAAATATGCAATATAAAATATGTACCATAAAATAGAATATAATAATAACCTTTTAATATTTTCTGTTTCAGGTAAGTCTTTATGTACAAGAAAACACACTATATCCATACATACAATCTATCTATGTATAGTCCACGGCATAGCACCCTAAGCGTTATTGTGTACATCGTGCCTTTATAAAGTTACGACAAAGAGCTGTATCTCGGTTGAGAAATAGAGCAGGTTTGCATAGCCCAGTTTCGTAATTTTAGATCTCTACAAATTAATGCTAAATAATATTCAAACGTCAAGGTAAAAAACAAATAGCCATTACTATTACTGTTACTATCTTCATTTGGAGATTCAATTTTTGTCTTTCGAAACAACAATTAATCACTTTAATTTTTAAATTAAATTCTATAATATTTTATTCAAACGCGACATTTATTAATGCTTGATTAATATTTATAATTAAAATTACAATTTGGTCATCCACGCTATGAATTGTTCGGATGTTTACTATATGTATAATTATCTATATACATATAATTCAGGACATATCATATATGTACAATTCAACACTGACCCACTAAATCCGACACTTCCGGTTCAGACAAGCGTTATAACCGACGTTCACATGTGAAACAATGAGCTGAATGAATTTTTTTGTTTCTGTGTGCCATACGGTAGTCATACACTTTTTTGGTCACCACAATATGTAATTGTTAATCCTCTGGAAGGCAATAATGCGTAGAAATCCATTTCGTGCTCTGTTTAATTTTCGATGTAGATCTACGATTTGCGTACATTCATACATATGCGCATATATTCATGCCAATACTTGCGCATTTATGCATTCTACATGAAAAACACATGTATATTTTACTACCTGCCGTTTCATTTCAGTTATGATTATCGCGATGAAAACATCTATTTTATATAACGTTGTTTTGCAGTTCAAAAATTTACACTTTTTTCCCTGTATTCCTTTTCTAGCGCTTTTCTTTCCTGTTACGTGTAATTTCAATCAGTTTACAGAATTTACCGGGTTCTCTGATATTTTTCACCACACAGAAAAAAAAATTTACTTGAATCAAGTAAATAATTTTGAAGAATTTCATCTTCTTGATTTGAGTAGAAAAATTCTTAAACTAAGAAATTTTTCTTGACTTAAGTAAATCTTACTTGATTGAAGAATTTTTCGTCTTGATTCAAGACAATGAAACTCTTCAAAATCATTTTCTCGGTTCAAGAATTTTCATCTTGATTCAAGTTAATAAATTTTTTTTCAGTGCAGCAATTGTAGAAAAACTCTGTCATCGATTTCCTACTGACGTCATAGCTTTGCATTGAAAAAAGTCTGTCATATCTTCATTAAAGAGGTCCAGTGCTTTTATGGTCGATGAAATGAGGTTAGGCAATAATGAAAATTTATTGTTATGATATAATAGGGCTCCAATGTATGCTATCGATAAATTTTGATTAATTTCGTTGCTTTTTAAGAATTTTTCAACGATATTGAAGTTGATTTTACGTAATTTTTGATTAGCTAAGCATGTATGCATATATATATTTATCTCGCTATTTTTAAAACTTCAAGGGCCGGGTTTTTCAATCTGGAATCAAATTTTATCTAATGCTAAAATAAACATACATACCCTTAATCATTTAAGGAATTATAATAAATTTATTTTACATAACATTAGTTTGTTTTTAAAGCGTATTTTTTAATTTCATAAATTTTTTAACACTGCAGCGTGGGCTTTTAAACTTAAAAAAAAAAACCCTTCCACACATAATCATAAAACTTGTTGTTAGCTCATTTCACACGTCATGGCTTGTAAAAAATTTAATGTCCTCATTTACGATTTGTACATTAATTCATATGAAAGTTTCTTACAAAAAATATTATAATTTAAAATAATAAATTAAAAAAAAAAAAGGAAAGTAAAAGGATTTGAATATTTATTTATGATTGACGAGTAATTTAAGAAATATTGAAATGATAAAAAAACGAAATATTTAATGGGTAGAGATGTTAATTTTGAAGCATAAAATTCAAATTAGACGTTTGTAGGAATAGAATAACATAATACAGCTTTCATTGATTGCAGTGTGCGTAACATGAGAAATTGAGCAAATAGATTTAATGAAAGAGTAAAAGAGTCGATTTATAAACTATATTGTATATATAATATACTAAGAGTAAGGATAAATACATATGTAAATAAAAATGAAACTGAAGAATCAGGTTAAGTTAAGATCGTTGATATCAGTTTAGTTGGTAAACGTCTATCACGCGATCACTTTATTCTTATTCAAGCATCATCACCAGTTTAGTATAAGTTCAGTCAGATTGCCTTGTTTGGTATTGGTATGGCAAAGATAGATCTTAAACGATCTATTGAGTTTCCGAGATCGCGATACGATTCTCTTTAAATCTACAACTTTACTTCTTATTCTTTTTTTACTATACACTATTATATCTACTCCAGTTGCAGAGTCCACATTTATGAGTATAAGCGTGTTTTTCCAAACAGGACTCTCACCGTTCCAGGTCATTTCATTTTCAAAAGCCGCACGCCCATTTGTAGAGAAAGGTCCTAGAATGAGAAAGGACAGTTTTAACTACTTATTACCTTTAAATTATTGTTTCTCACCGATTCATTGTCTTATTACGCGATACAATGTTCAGAACAGAACAGTGCCGTTTTTATTGATCATTCTTCGATAATATCAACGAATCTTGCATTTGTCGAGTTTATATTTTTATCTAAGAAGTTTATTTCCTTAAATATTTATTTATCCACTTTATTACCTTTTTAGTTTAATTTAAATTTCTTTTATTGCATCTTATCGTTATGTCTTTGGCCCGTTTTTCTGTATAAAGAGTTAAGAGATGTTTCTTTAGATTATTTTCATTTATTAGTGTCTATACTGTTCCTAAGCAGTCACTTAAGATTTGGACATTGAGACATAAAATCTCATAAATTATTATTATTATTTTATAAACAATATGTTTTTATTATTTAAAAAATCTACTTCCATTTCTTCTGCCGA